AGCGCTTGTTTCCACAGGCAGCCGTCCAGGCGACTGTGGCAGCAGGAGGCCTCGCCCGGATTGGTCTGTCTGTGTGTCTGTCTGTCTGTCTGTCTGTCTGTCTGTCTGTCTGTCTGTCTGTCTGTCTCTGTGTGTGTGTGTGTGTTTTGGATGGTGCCGGTAGTTATAAACCCGAACCAGCACCCAGGACTATGGTCAGATCATGTGTATATATAAATATATGTATATATGCATATGCGTATACTTCCATTGCATGCCTATCCTTTATGTGTAGGCTTGTGGTTGATGTTGTGTGTTGTATGCTTTGCTATGACTTGTTTCATGGTAGGCTTACGCTTCCTTATGCTGTGCGTTGCTACGCATGCAATGCTATGAGATATGCTATGCTGAGTTATGTTATGCTTTCATGTGTCGCTGGGCTGTGTCACTCGATACTATTTTGTTTTGGTTCGCAGTGTTTTGCGAAGGCTGTGCTATGCTATGACATGCAGTGTCATGCCGCGGCATGCTATTGGATGGGATGGGACAGGATGCTATGCTGTGATGATGCTAAGCGTTTATAGGCTGTACCAAAGCTGCTGCCGGTGCTAGTGCTAAAACATGCTAGATATGGCATGTTATTTTTATGCAGTGTTATGCTATGCTATGCTATGCTATGTTATGCCATGTCATGCTACCGTGTGCGATGATTGGCTTTGCTTTGTCATGCGATGTTTGTCTGCTAGGTTATGTCATTAAGCACTCCGTCTTGTTATGCTATGATCGGATAGCGAAGTTACTACTTACTATAACCACCACTTCTGTTCTAGGCTTTAGGCAACCGCCTTTCTGAGCATTTCAGTCCTCTTTCAGATCCCACAGGGTCTAGTCCCTAAACCCTAAACCCCTAAACCGTTTAGGACTTGTAGGGGCTTTAGGGTTTAGGAGTTTAGGAGCCTCAGGCGAGTCTCGGATTTTTGGTTTAGGGTCTGGGATTTTGGGTTGAGGGTTTAGGATTTTGTTGGTTTTGGGTTTAGGATTTGGGGTTCAGGGTTTAGGGTTCTCAGCCTCTAAACCCCCCAATCCTCAACCCGGAAGGTTGCTAAAGACCAAAAATCCGGACTCTAATCTCAACCCAAGCCTCCAAACCCTGAACCCTACCTGTGGCCCGGAAGACCTACCTTTTTCGCGAAGTGTATATATATAGATAGATAGATAGATAGATAGATAGATAGAAGCCATAATAAGGAACGTTTTTGAAGGAAGGAGTTAGTTATATATATATATATATATAGAGAGAGAGAGAGAGTATTGTAGAAACCAGAATAAGGAACACAAAACAGGTAGGTCTTTTCGGCTGCAGGGAAAGCCTAAATCCTAAAACCGTGCTCACCTGGCCTGGGAGGCGAAGCCTGAACGATTCGATGCGGCCTGCTCAGAAGTGTGTTTATAGGGGTTCAGGGTTTAGGGTTTGTGAATTTTATATATATATATATATATATATATAGGGTTTAGGGGTTTCTTTATAGGGGTTCAGATATAGGGTTTAGGAGTTTCTTTATAGGGGTTCAGGGTTTATAAGTTATATATATATATATATAATAGGGTTTCGGAGTTTCTTTATAGGGGTTCAGATGTAGGGTTTAGCAGTTTCTTTATAGGGGTTCAGGGTTTAGGGGCTATAAATTATATATATATATATATATATATATATATAGTATAGGGTTTAGGAGTTTCTTTATAGGGGTTCAGGGTTCAGGGTATCACGAGATCCTTTATTTTTTTTGGTTTTTGTTGTGTGCATGTGCGCGGGGGGGGGGTTCTGTTTTGATCTTATCTGCAGTATCGCTGGGGTCCGGCTGTGTTTTAGATTTTGCGTAGCTCGCGTTTCGGGTCTCGGATGTTGGAGCTCCCGGGGGGCCCGGGGGAGGGCTTTCAGGTTAGGTTTTGTGGTTTACCTTAGGGTTCTGAAGACCGGCCCCTTCCCTGAACCTCCACCCTTGAACCGACATGTAAAAGCTCCTAACTCCGAAACCGCTGCACCCCGCCACTGAACCCAAACTCTGGAATTTCTGAAACCCTAAATCCACAACCCCCTGTCAGGCCCTAAACCCCAAACCCTAAAACCCTAAAACCCCCATATAAGGCACTAAGCCCTATAAACCCTTAAAGGAACCCTAGAAACCCTTACAGGACCCCTGGGCCCCAAACCCGAAAACCCGCCAGAAGGCCCTAAGCCCCTGAGACCCGGAACCTTTGAGGTTGTTCTGTGCCTGTCGGTGACCAAGTGGGTGCATTTTGCTCACGGCGACACCGGGCCCCCCGGTCGCCAGCGAAGATGTCAATTTCTGGGTTGTGGGGTTGGGGTTTTGGGGTTAGGGTTCAGGG